CTGTCCTCATTTTGTAGGTGGTTGGAAGGCAACCCTGGCAGGTCCTAATATCATTTAAACTTGTTGTCAGCTGATGTCATGATTGATTAAATAATCGACTACACACCCAAGTGAGGATGTGCAGATTCTCGTTCTGGCCTGATGCACACAAAGATCAGGTTGTTGTGATTGAGTGGTTTATCCTGTATAACGATGTATCATGTATGCAATGGTTCTGATTATTCCAGCCTGCTTGTAGCACTTGGGGGAATAGGCATTATTATTGATTACATTTTTCTTTGTTTTTTTATATTGCCATCAGCCTAACTTAGTTGCATGTATAAAACTTATTTTCTTTCCTTGTGTTGTGCCTATGCCTTGCGCTATATGGCCGTTATCGTGTTAATGTGCCTGTTAATTTTTCACTAAAGTATTAAGTGTTCATATCTCGAATTTTCTTTTGTTTCTCTTCTTCAGGTATTTCAAGATGAACGTTATGAAGGAGATATCTTTTCTGTGAAGAGAAGGGGTGAAACTTTTCAAGGAGGTGTGTCCACTGTGTAGAGGAGACGTGATTGGTTTAAAACTCGTCGACGGAACGCTTCCTTCTGCACCAGGGGAAACACAGAAAGACAAAACCTACAAGACGTTGTTTGCGTCTGATTAGTGTAGCGTAGATCACCAAGAAGGCGTGTTCAGCAATACACTCGTCTATTGTGCGGTTACAATACCGTCAAGAAAGCGTTCCCAGTGAGCGTTTTGTGTGGTGAAGGAGCACGTTTATCGTCCTTAAAAGTGTGTCCAGCATATGTCTGTGAAGTGAGACGGATATCGTCTCTACCTCCGAGGAGGCGTGGCTAGGGGGCGTGGTTGTGTGGTGAGGAGGCGTGGTCGTACGGTAAGAAGGCGTGGTCGTACGGTAAGAAGGCGTGGTCGTGCGGCGAGGAGGCTTTTCGTGCGGTGAGAGGCCGTGTCGTGTGGCTAGGAGGCGTGTCGTGTGGTGAGAAGGCGTGGTCGTGCGGTGAGGGGCCGTGGTCGCAATGTTGTCAGCACGCAACCAGATCGTGCCCTACGGGCAGGACGATGAGCTGAAACGACGGCTGGAGAAGTTGTCCCGGAGCTACGACCTGACCACCATGAAGATCTTCATGACGGTAGAGGCGCTCGGAGAGGCTAACGTCTACAGCACTTATGATCTCGGTCAGTGGTAGTTAAGCTAATTAAGCTAAGATTAGATTAGATAAAATAAGATAAGACAAGATAAGATAAAACAAGATAAGATAAGATAAGATTAGATTATATAAATAAGATAAGATAAGGGAAGATACGATAAGATACTGAAATGTAATTTATTGAAATGTTATACGTTTAACGTGTCTATCAGTATCAACACTATTATAGGTTATTTAAGAGGCATCTCTGAAAGGACGGAGCTAAAAAGGACATTCCTGTAAAATGCCTTTCCCAAGGACACAAAGTCGGACAGAGATAAGGGTATACGGGCTCGGGAGCCTTATCACTAGCCTTCCAACGCGGCCGGTCAGTTTAAGATAAGCTAAGATAAGACAAGATAATATTTTTAATGATCGTGACAAAGAGAAATTTGTTGCGGTACGGTAAATACGTACACGCATACACACACACTCACGCACACACACACACCACACTCATACACACACACACACACACACACACACGCGCGCGCGCGCACA